ACTCGCTGGTAGTGGCAGACTCGCTGGTAGTGGCAGACTCGCTGGTAGTGGCAGACTCGCTGGTTGGTATCTCGGTGGTGGACGTTTCACTGGTAGTTGTAAGCTCGTCGATGGCTGTAGAAATTTCGCTAGTAGAATCACTGGTCATTTCGGCTGTTGTCGATGAGTAGGCATTGGTCATATGGTTCGTTACTGGAGCCCCAGTGCTCAAGGAGGTTTCCAGGGTAGAAGAAGATTCGCCTGTCGTAATGTAGCTCGGAGTCGTGCGGGTCGCTAAAGAACTGCTACTGGTCGATGTAACATAGTCCATGGTCGTAATCGTAGTCGATTCAGTAGTCTGTAGACTCGAGGTAAGCTTGCCTGTTACAGTTGTAAGGCTGGTAACAATACTCGTGAATGAGTCAAAGTTTTCAGTCGTCGTTATGTAGCTAGCGGTGGTTGTCGACTCGGCAGGGTCCGTCGTTGGTTCGGTCGTCGAGCTCGTGATAGTAGTATCAGCTTCAGTCGTGTCCATTGTTGACTGCGAAGACTCAGTGGTAGAAGAGGTTAGTGACGAATCAAAATGTGTGTTTGTGGACGCAAGCGTGCTGTCTTGTGATTGACTATTATTTTCCGTTGAAGAAGCTGTGGTAATAGCTGTTTCGGTCGTGGTCAGGATAGTCGAGGTTGTGAAATCCGGCGTTAAAGCGGTGTCGATGATAATGTAAGAACTAGATGTAGCTCCTACCGTTGTTCCAACAGTCGTCATTTCTGTGGTGGCAGTGGCTGAAATGGCTGAAGTGGCAGATGACGTTATGACTGGACTTTCAGAAGTAGAAGGATCGGAGGTGGACGGATCGGTCGTGTGCGTCGTAGTAAAAGTCATAGGGAATGTGGTTTCAGTCGTTTCTATGGTTGTAGTCGAAGAAGACTCAGACCCTGATTCGGTGGTGTCTTTAGTAGCTGATGTCGACGAAGAGCTCTCTTCTGTGGTCGTGTCGCTTGCAAAACTGGTAGTTGTCAATCCGGGGGGTTCCCTCTCGGTGGAGGTTGATGAAGTAACTTGAGTAGACTCGACACCAGTCGAAGTTGGCAGAGAATTGATGCTTGAAGATACAGAGTCAGTGGTTGTGATAGCAGACATCTCAGTGGTCTGATCAGTAGCTGAAGTCGGGAAGGTAGTTTCTGCCGTATGGCTGGTGGGTTGTGAAGTGTAGTCATTTGAAGAGGTGAGTTCAGTAGCCATCGTTGGGGAGGAGGTTGACTCGGGTGTAACACTGGTAATGATATACTCGATGGTCGTGGTCATGGTCGTGGTCGACCCATAGACACTAGTCGTGGTGGGTGCCAGAGACGAAGCCTCACTAGGAGTTGACAATGTATATTCAGTGGCAGAGGTTGTATCTGACATAGGAGCGCTGTATATACTGGGAGGCATCGAGGAGCTATCCGTATATAACGAAGACGAACTACCAGCAGTCGGATTTAACGTATCTGAGGATAATTCGCTTGTGGTGCTACTGGCTGTAATCGTGGTACTGCCCAAGTCGATTGTTGTGTACTCGAGACTTGACATAGTCGAGCTCTGAGATATGGTAGTTTCAATGGCTGAGGAAGATGAGGTATCGCTCACAACTGTGGTTTGAGGTTGGGAATTGGTGACATAGCTACTCGTATCTAAGAGAGAAGACATCGTAGAAGGAGCTGTAATATAACTCGGCGTGCTTGAGCTGAATTGTACCGATGACTGAGGGAATGTATAGCTCGTCATGGTCGAGCTTCCAAGTATCGACGACGTAAGTGAGTTTGCGTTGGTTATCTCTGAGGTCGACGAGGCCAGAATACTTTCACTGCTAGAGCCTTGTACTGGGGCCTCGGAACTCATGCTTGGGTTTTCAGTGGATGTTGACGATGAAGGGACAATGGTGCTGGCCTCCAAAGTCATGATGGTAGTAGAACTATCAAAGGCGACACTCGTCGAAGTGAGAGATGCAGTCATTGATTGAGAGCTCGAAGAAAGAGAAATCAATGCCACGGTAGATCCTGGGAGCGCAGTAGTGGATGGCTGCATTGTAGTACTGGGCGTGGTAAATCCATCGGACAAGGAGGTATCTGGTGCACCAATCGAGGTTCCAATTGAGCCAGCAGTTGAAGAGGTGGTGAATATGGTTGAGGCATCAACCGTTGAGGTGGTAGTAGTGTCACCTGTCGAGAGCGTGGAAAAGGTACTAGTCGAAGAACTAGTTAATACTTCAGTCAAGGAAGTAGCTGAAAAGTCAGTCGAGGAAGTGGTGACTGCATCGGTGGGAGGAGTGGTAGTTGTCACATCGGAAGCGGTAACAGAGCCAGTACTGGGTGAGTAAGTCCATGGGGTGGTTGATTCATCGGTCAACGAAGTGGTTAATGTCTGGTCCAGTGAACTAGTCTGAACGCTGGTCGGCAACAATGGGGTCGATGAGAAGGTCGATTCACTGCTTGAGAAGGACATCGAGGCAGCAGTCGATGGAGCGGTAGAGATAGGGGCTCTTGAAAAGGACTCATTCGAGGTATTCGTAGACTCTGTAGTCGATGTACTGGTAAGCTCTGTGGTCGAGGTACTGGTAGACCCTGTTGTTGATGTACTCGTAGGCTCTGTGGTCGAGGTTGCAGTAGTGGTAGTCACATCACTAGTAGTGGAGGATTGAGTAGTGCCTGGCAAGATTGCAGAATCAGTCGTGCTTGACGAAGTTGTAGAACCGCTTGTACTTGACAAGCTTGTAGAATCGAAAGAAGGATTGCTTGTCATGACCGTCGTCGTTGTGAAGCTGGCAATTGTTGTCGAAGAATCAACTGACACAGTAGATGTGGCGCTGGGGGACAACGATTCGCTTGAGGTGGACACTTCAAAGAGTGATGTTGTTGGAATGGCACTCTGGTCTGATGTTGAAACACTGAGAGTGTACGTCGCAATGTATGTGGTTGTGCTTGAAGGAAACACGGTGGTTCCCGTTGGAACAAGGGAGGACGAGTAGGGCACGCGATTTGATGGCGACGTAGTTGGTTGAGAGGACGACGATGAGTCGTCAGGCAAAGACGAGGTCGACTGTGGTCTGACTGTGGTCGATGATGCGAGTGCGGCGTCAGAATTTGTGGTGGAGATTGTGGTTGCTTCTTGTGCGGCGGTGGACGAAGATGTGCTACTAGATGTGAAGATGTCATCGCCACTGCTGTAAGTAGAGTGGCTAGTAATGTCACTCAGCTCTGTGGTAGAAGTGGTTCTAATGGTGTTTGTGGAGGTCGTAGCTGACTGTGATGTCAATAAACTAGCATATGTGGAGAGATTAGAAGGCGATGCAGCATTCGTACTAGGAACAGACGTAGTTGAAGTTGATGTCGAACTTGATGTCGAACTTGAGACCGATGTGATGGCTTCGGATGGGGACAGTGAATTCAGAGTTGTGTTAGGAATGTACATAGTTGTACCCATTATAGTTGTCTTCGATGGAGAGACAATTGAATATGTCGGACTAGTTCCGTAGCTAGGCTGAAAGAACACGGAAGAACTCGAGGAAACGCTAGAAGTGGTGAGAAAAATGCTATTGCTCGGCGATGCGGTTGCTACAAAACTTGTAGAAAGAAAAGGGTTTGCAGTTAGTAAGCTGGGGGATGTGAAAATCAAGGAGGTGGAACTTAGACCTGCGGTGAACGAAGGAGTAGAAGAGGGAGGGAAAGTTAGATTAGATGTGGAGGTGGAACGCGATGTGATACCAGAAGTAGAGATGGAAAAGGAGTTCATAGTGGGAAGCAATGTTGATGTGCTGGACATGAAGTTTGGGGTAGAGCCCAAATACGAGGCTGGTAACGTCGTTGGGAGACCTGAGGTGGGCAACACTGCAGATTTTGTTGGAAAGCCCAGTGCGAGCGAACTCGTAGAGGATGTACTCGTTGGCAAAGGAGAAGTGGTCAAGTAGCGGGTCGGCGTCTCACTCGCACTGGTTAAAGCTGCTGTAGAGACTGAAGCCGCCGTAGATATACCAGAAGTTGGCAAGTCCCTGGGTTCCAAACTTCCAGAAGAATCACTCGGTTTAGAAGATGTACTCTGTTCGTGAGTGCTGGTCGGAGTTTTCAACTCCGAGGTGGTGGACACCGGTTGAGAGGTTAGACCTGTGGGTGCGAGAGATAGTCCCTGAGAGCTTGAGCTTGTAGATGCTTCTGGAGATGTAAAGGACGTTAGTCGAGTTGTCCGGCGAGACAAAGCGCTAGTCACAAGCCGACTAGATGACGATGACCGATTTGAGACCGTAGTTCCATTGAAAGAGGTGGTGCTGACGTCTACCGGAGCCAAAATAGCGCTCGATGAATCTATTCCGGTGGACATGCTACTCTGGTAGGAGCTTGGAGACGAAGCCGAACTCATCGAAAGCTCCGTTGATGTCGTTGTCGAATTTGTTATATCTGGTAGTCTTTTCGACGTTGTTGTGACGGGCCAGTTGTAGGAGGGGCTTATGGTTTTCACTATTGTCACATTTTCGGTAGACGTGACGGTAGTGTGACCAAACCAATCAACCCAGGGACGGTGGCTGACCCAGCTGTCCGGGGTTTCAAGAAGTTCGTCTGGAAACTGGAACCATGGTGACTCTGAATCACCAGCAGTCATTGAGGGCAGAATATATGTAAACGTGCTGTGGAAATGGTCAGCATAGGGGATTTCTGAAGGGTTCCTGGCCCTGGGGAATGTACCTTTTCGGGGCAAAAACTGTAGAGAGGGGAGCTGTGTAGATGATGGTTTTCGTGACATGTATGGTTATAGTGAAAGTGGTAGGCCCCGTGCAAGACCTAGTTACGTGGGCTTTCCAGACTAGTGGCGAAAGGGAGTAAATCCCATCGCTAGTTGTAGCAGGATTAAAGCCACCTTGCGGCAAAGCAGTCATTGCTGTTTGTTTGGGAGCAGTTATAACTGCCGCTGAAACTGTCTGCGGAAACACCCAAACATATGTACCACGGTTTGATACACTTTTCTTCGTTGAGATTGTTGCTTCGTATATGGTGGTCAGGGGTGAAGCAGGATTTGAAATCCAGGTCTCGGTCCACCTTAGGCATCTTCTCTCCCGTGGTGACACGAAGCATTCAAGCACCATAACACGTTGTTTCTGGGTGAGGTCGTACTCTGAGACGCAGGAATCGCAGAGTCCACTACCGCTCCATCCCGGAATCGCAAAAGATCCAATCTCTTTATAAGGCGCCAGCGCCCTTCTCAGTACAGTCGTGACATCCAATTCATCATGGTGGTGGTGCTTCCACGGGACTGGGAGGCTAAACCAGTAAGGAGGATGTGTTGTTGGCTCTCGCGTTAAAGTGCTCTCGGCTTCAGAAATAACGACTGGCTGATCAGTTCTGGTGACGATCAGTGTTGATGCAGTGATTCCGTTCCAAGCGCACGGAATTGCTGTTGAGACAAAAGCAAAGGTCACGAACTCGATTCCTGTCGAACATCGGCGCTTGACGCAGATGGACCTTTGGGTGCATGTCGATATTTGCTGTAGTTGCGTAGTCACATATACAGGTTCTAAACTGATGCTCTGGAGGGGCAAGTGGCATGGGTGAATCGTTGCCAACACTCTGTGTATTTCCGCTGTCGTGAGCATACAAAACAGGCCAATGCTTATCAAAGCAAAATGCAAGAACCACATGACACAATTCCCCGGCTTCCCTGGGTAGGTATAACGTGTGAATTCACCTCCAAGGCGGAAAGGAATGTCGGCTGAGACGGCGGGGCATGGTTGTGGGATTGATAGATTTCTCGGAGGTTTATTTTTGAGTTAGGTGATTTATCTCAAGGATGAGACGCACTCTGGAAGTCCGATATTTTCTTAGACTGCCCGTGTCTGTTGAGGGCGCTCGAAAGGGTGTGCCTCGCAGGATTGAGACGATGTTGTCGTTCTGTGGTGAAATGAGCTGCGTTTGCCGAGCTGTAGAGTAAGATAGGATGAGGCGTGCTGGGAAAATGGGTAAATAGACCCGACCAGTCTCAATAAGAATGGCCATACTACTGCTACAAGCATGAGGAGCAGAACCAACCTGTCAATGCTCGACAGCCTGATCGACCAAATCGAGGCATGGTTTTCTGTCAATACTCTGTATCGAGGAAATTGAATTCCGCCCAGATCCCAGGCCCTAGCAAGCCTTGTAGGGAAGTACCGGCGCAGATCATGGTCTCGGGAGACAGGTAAAGAGTCCTGGAGGGGAGTGACAGCTGCAGACATACCGGCATACCGCAAAAGGGTGGGAAAGCGATAGAACAACACAGGGATATTGTCATGGGATGTGTTGACACCATACAGAATGGGGGATCACAGACCAGTATTGATGTCAACTTACCAGGGAGAACTCGAGCTGCATAGCTGACAAATTGAGGAAGACAAAGGTGTGTGGCGCGGTGAGAGATGGCAAGACGGGGTGCCTTGACCGTGAGCCATCGAGCATGACAGCGACCGAGCGAGATGATTGTACACTAAGTGTCTCAGATACTCCCATGGCCATGGCCTGACGGTTGTGCTGCCATAGTCCCAAGTACATGATGCAGACCGAGATGATATTGAGTAGAAGGACGGACGGTGTTCTTGTTGATATGTTGTAGAATCAAGATGCTTTGTTGAGGTTACTTTTAGGTCTGAAGGGACTTTTGCTTGATGCTGTAGTCTGCCCACTGTGCGTGACTGTCGCGCACTACACTGACTTGGCTCCAGGCACCAGCGAGTGACTTGTCCATAATAGGAATAGTGACAGGGCTTGGCAACGATACCCGGGTCAAAAGTCCGATTGCGCTAACCAGAACTGGGCCAAGCTTCACATTCGGTTTTACGGAGCAGGACAGAAGGAGCACGATTCTTTCCCTGGCTTCCCACCTTTCCTGCCGCATTTGATAGTTGGAGGGACGTGCTTATGTGGATGTCAATATGCCACTGCAATCGTTTTCCGCAATCCCCGAGGATTGTAAACATTGCAAGATGCATGTACTGTAAGGTCGTCTATGAGCGAGTGGTCGGGAGGACATCCGGGTTCGCTAAGGGAGGAGCGCAGGGCAGGCCGTATTCCTAAGAACCAATCGCTCGGTTTTGCCCTCAAGACTGCAATACCAGCTCATGCCATGTCAGCTAAGATCTTCTTCTCTCAGTTCATATCCCATGTCTTGACCTCGTTTCTCTCTTGCCACCCATGTGTTGACATCTTCCAGACAGGTGCAGATCTTTTCCCCATCGTGAAAATGGATCGTCATCTTTCATGATCGACTAACCGAGATGATGTTTTTTTGGACCAGAGAAGTCCATTTACGTGATGATCTGAATGGATAAATGTATATGTTGGTCGGGTCAACTGCTCAGGACATCAAGTTGATGTCAATGTTTCCCAACTTGCAACACCGTCCAAAATGGTAGTGTCCAAGTGGCCACTTCTACCAGTGATCATCGTTACGTCTCTCACTGCCGCGATACCAACTCCCACAACTGCACTTGGGTTCACCGAGTGGTCCGCCGTTAGTCGAAACGTCCACCAGACATCAGTGCAGATTCATGCTTTGTGTGACACACCAAACTCAATCTGGGCCCAGAATCAAGAAGCCCAACTGAAAGTCCAACTTTGTCAGAACTCCTGCTTTTGTACCCAGGCCGGTACCCTTGATTGCCGACTACCTGGATATTTGGAACAATACAACATGGCGCTCAGATGTGATGGCGTTTGTCGATGCAATATGATCACTGCATCAAGGGTCGACTCGGAGCCAGTCGAGCATTTCAACCATCTTCTCAAAGGTGACGAAGCAAATGCTCTGCGCCAAGAGCGTCTTCGTCGGTTCATGGCCGAAGAAGGTCTAGACAACGCCGATGATGATGATGATGACGACGACGACGAGGGAAAAGATTAGGCGACCATTCGAGATACACGAGGTATCTTTTTATCACCACTAGTCGTTCAGAGGAGCCTGCTAGGAGGCTCGTTGACATGGTCAAGAACTAGTTGAGAGTCGAAATAATGTGATGGTGTGGGATATCGACTTCATGGTGGAACCTAGATGCTTCAGCGCCTGATCAAGTTTCCGCATGGTCGAGACGCTGCAGCCAGCATCACCTCAAACGGTAACACTGGGTTGATTCCGAAAATAAGTCGTTCAGGCCCAATTGAGAAAATTCGACCAGCAGGGCAGTGCATCGTTCTGGAAAGGGCTTATCCGAGCCCATCACAAGACGGCAATAGTGTCGCAACTTTGAGCTCGACGTTTAATATACTTTAATTCCCTCTAGGCTTTGATTTAGCACACGGCCACTGTGGACAGGCAAAAGTCTGGAGTGATGTCCCCAAATGACTCGCAGTAGAATCCCGCGAAAGGGCTGCTTCGAGTATAGAGTGGTCGTTTGGCTGAGGCTCTGAAGATCTGGCTGATCAGCATTGCCAAGGATACTGTATACGTCGACTGACAATGACAGTTGCACTCTTTGAACATGTGACAAACGGGTCGACGTGTCTGGTGCCCACTGCCCCAGAATGCGACTGTCCTCAAGTCATTCTTGCTTCTCGGGGCGTTGAGTCTGAGATTCTTTTGGTAGACGTGCAGGCCCGCAGCGGGTAAGAGGGCGTGGAGGGATGACTCGGAATGGAAGAATGACAGGAGTGACAGCATCGAGGAAATCTCCACCAAGGTGCACGACACGGAAAATCCTTGTTAGAAACCCATGCTCGAATCTCGGGTGTAGTGGGGTCAAGGTTTCAGAGGCTCATGGGCGGCCGAATCCATTTTGCATCCAAATGCGGGAGCACTAACACCCCAGAAGCTTAATCCGAAGTCGACGGTCGAGTCAAATCGCTGATGTGAAACGATTCAAACGGTTAGAATCAGTCCAGTATTTATCTCGTTTTCCACATGCTGGGTGGCCGCAATTGTCAAAAGTATAATTCGTATCGTTTGTTATCGATAGGGCCAAGGTATCCTTTTTTGTGAGAAATATCATATCCTCGTTAGAGGTCCGTGGTTAAAGTGATAGATTCCCGTGTCTTCATTCCTAGCGAATGGTCCGATCGATCGATCGACCGATCAATCAGTCAAAGACCCTGAAAATCACTCAAGAGCACGGGGCCGTGGGGGGCCGAGGGGCACGAGGGCTGTATGTCTGCTCCGGGCGGGATTGACATCTCGAGGCAGTGCATGACTCAAATCTGGATTCTGGTAATTGGATTTAGATCTTCTGTCCATGGACATGGATGTTTGTGGCTGCTTCTTCATCTTTCTCACGGTGCCTCCCTGTTTCAACTCCTTGGCATTGCCACGTAATCACAACAACAAGAACAAAGGATATGGCAAGCCTCGCTATCACCACAGATCATTTTGGGCGCAAGTAATGATGTTGAACTAGAGTGGTGGTTAACAGGTGGGGGACACTATGCGAGACATGATTGAGAAGCCATCAAATTCAATCGTCAATATTCGTCGATATTCGTGCAAAATGTACATGGGTCTGATGTGCTTCAGATCTATCATCAATGTCTATTTTTTGGTCAGAGGCGGTTAACAAGTGCCCTCCGCAGTATAACCTCTTCTAGTGTGTTTCTGACCATGCGCGATACCACTCAAGGCACTCACTGTTGGCGACGCTGGCACTGGTTTTGATGTTTAATCCACTCAAAATCTGCTTGACGGCGCCCTCCACTTTTTTGCCATTTGTCGTGACAGGGATTTCTGGGCATTCGTCAATCACCTTGGGCACGTGTCGAGCACTGAGCTCTTTTCTGACCACAGCCTGAATTCTGTTCGTGAGGTCGGCATCGAATTGGTGGCCTTTCATCATCTTCAGGAAGAGGACGACCACCTCATCAGGGTCTTGTTCGCGTTTCCGCCCGATGCACAATGCATCTTCAACTTCTGAGCTGAAATGCTTCAACAAGATGTTGTAGATCTCACTTGAACCAAATCGAACTCCCATGGGATTGAGGACTCCGTCCGAACGGCCGAGCATCCAGATGCCACCGGTCCGCGGATTGAAGCGAACAAAATCCCCGTGATGCCAAATTGGCTGGTCGGTCTTTTCATGTCTAAACACTTCAAAGTAGGACGACTTGTACCGTTTCTCGCCTTCAGGACCCGGTGGCCAGAACATGCATGGCTGGCATGGGAATGGTACGGTGCAGACCAATTCTCCCGGTTCACCGGTATGGAGAATGTCTCTGCCGTCTGGAGAGAAACTTCTAATGGCCATACCAAGTCCGGCACACTGGATTTCCCCGGCGTGGACTGGCAATATCGGACACGAGGCCCCGAAAAGAGATATAATGTCTGTCCCACCGGTGATGGAGCCAAGCATGATCCCGGTATGAGGCGCCGGTGGCGACAGGTGTTTATAAACGTAGTGATAAGTACTGGGTGCAAGCGGGGACCCAGTAGAAAAGATAGACTTGAGAGATTGGAGCGAGGCAGGCTGAGGGTTCGCCGTCATGGGCGACGTCTGAGCTTGTTCCAAGACCGAGAGATATTTGGCAGATGTCCCAAAGTGGTTGATCTGGAGCTCATCAATTAAGAGTGGCATGCTCATCTCCTTGTGGGGCTGGAAGGGTGAGCCATCGTAGGTGATAATGGTCGCACCACTTGCTAGGCTGGACACAAGCCAATGCCACATCATCCAGGTCGTTGTGCTGAAGTAAAAGACTCTTTCGCCAGGCCTGATATCAGAGTGTAAAGCATGCTCTTTCTTGTGTTGTATCAGAGTGCCTAATGCGCTATGCACAATGGGTTTGGGGACACCTGTTGTGCCGGAAGAGTAGAGAATGTAAACAGGGTGATCGGGGGGAAGATAGTTGAATTTGAGGGTTCTTGAGGAGTCGCCTCTGGACGCAAAGGACGCATATGTCTGAGCCGTAGTAGTGGGCTGAGTTTTGAGAGTGGTGAGGTCGAACTTGTGGTCAGCGATCGATTCGAAGACGACCAAGTCTTTGACGGAAGGTAATTCTGCCACGACTTGAGAGATTTTGGAGTGAGTTTCGTGGATTTTGCCGTTATAGATGACCGCGTTGTCGGCGAAGAGCAGGACAGGCTCGACTTGCTTTAAGCGATCGAGGACGGCGTGGACGCCGGTGTCAGGACTGACGCCTGACCAGAGAGCGCCCAGAGAGGTGGCGGCCAACATTGCCACGACAGCATTAGCGTGGTTGGAAAGATAACCCACCACTCTCTCGCCCTGCTGCACACCCGAGGCTTCCATGGCCGCTGCACATATTCGGACGCGTTCTCTTAATTCTGACCAAGTAACATATTCACGAGTCCGTTCGGTCGCAGCAATGATTGCTGGAGAATTCGGGTCCGGGTCACAGTCTGGGAATAAGAGGTTCTCTGCGAAATTCAACTCGGCGCCTGCGAAGAAGGTGGGTTTGGGAAATATGGGAGCGGACTCGTCGAGGACCTGAAGAAGGTTAGCCTGTGCACAATGAGAGTTAAAGACGCTTGAACCGTACCGACTTGTATGTCTGATGAGCCTTTATACCAGTATAATGCCAGATTTCTTCCCAGAAGGCACTGGGATTGTCGATACTCCATTTCCAGAGATCAGAATATGAGTCGGATTCAAGAGGGTACTTTTTTCGAAGGTGTTGTTGAAAAGCGTAGAATTGAGTCGTTTCAGGACGAGGATGTCTCCAGAGTTCAACGTCGCCGTGTGCATGTCCGTTGACGCCGTTGACGCCGTTGACGCCGTTGACCCCATTGACCCCATTGACCCCATTGACCCCATTGACACCGTTCCCACCATTGGCGCTGTTCACCACATGTGTTCCGTTCATCTCGTGTTCAGGTATGCTGTAATTGGAATTGAGCGTGTCGTGAGAACCATGACCTTGTCCGGGGATGGCTCTGGGGATGGCGACGAAATGTATTTTTTGTTTGGACGAATCAACACCGGATATTAACGGGCAGGGCAAGCTTTGTTGAGCTCCGGGGTTCGGTGTTGGCCCGAAAGAGCCTTGGCCTTGCAGAATTTTGGTGGGCCCGGGCGGATTCCGCAGTCTTTAGGCACCGAAGGTCACCGAGGGGCTCGCTTCGGAACCGGTGCAATAATAAGCTGTGTGGAAGCAACATACCTACAGTATATATATGAATGCACATGGTGGCTCGCTCAAAATCCATACTGGCAACGACAAGGCAGAGGGGGAATCGTGAATTGTCAAAGAAACTTGGCCATCTTCCTACCTGCTATGCTAAGATCTGGCGGTGGATGATAAGGATCTGCTGAAGCGAAGAGGGACATCTTCAAAGACACAGTTAGCCGGGGCTCGTGGACACCGTGTATACGTCTCATGAAATATAGCTCGCCGGCGACAGGGCTTCACGTCGATGGCGCGTGGTGCGGCTAGAAGCTCGAATTCATGTTGATACTGTGACTGATGAGAATCTTTTGAAATGAAAGAACTGAGTCCTTCTGGCAGTAGTCAGACAGACCTGAGCCTGCCACTCCCATGCCTGCAAAAACATCAATAATGATCATGCCACCTCCGTGCATCTTCCAACTAGAAATGGGGACTGCAAGAGTCCTGCCAAGGATTTTGTTGCTCTCAATGACAATTCATTATTGGTGGATCCAAGAGCCCTAAATCAAAATTGGCCGAGGTTCTCAGGATCGTCAGGCTAACAAATTACTTTAAGTAAGGAATAGTTAGCTCACTCGTTAGCCGGAAGCATAACCGAGCCAGAGCCAATTGTCCACTCGCCACTCGCAAATTTCATCATTGTGCACCACTGAAGCGACGGAAGTCGATGGCTTTGCCCCTATTAGTGCACCTATTGTTCCACAAGACCACTTCACTTTCCAAGCACCTACTCCGTACACTACAATGGCTGGGTTCATACTTCAGGCCCCTTCAGGCATTACAAAATCCAATCTCAAAGGCTGACATGGCAATTTATTGTGTACCCAAGTCTACAGGTACGAGCTGAGGATGGTGTACCACGGTGGATGCTCCGGCACGTTGACAATTCGGATTGCACTCACGGTCGTGTCTTGTTCGTGTCAAGCCCCAAACCACGAACTTTTGTAGGATTTTGTGCATACGACTATGTCCCTTATAGGTCCTACGGGTACGAGTACGTTGATCCCACGTAGCACAAACTCGACCCACGCGTTACCAAAGCAATATCTCGCTACAGGATCCGAGGTCTGTACAGAGTACTCCGTACGCGACGTGGATGCTGTTAACGTGGGTACCTAATGCACCCATTATCAATCTTCCGTGGAAGTCGCCAACGGACTCCCCATTGCTCCAGCCATTATTATGATTGTAGACTGGACCAACAACCTCCTTATCAGGAGACTTCAACACCACAGCACTTATTCTCCATGAACATGTCCTTCTTTTCCTTTTTTTTCTTAAATTTCTTGCTCACAAGTTCCCATCCTCTCCTCCTCTGCTGGTTCTTGTAATCCCCGCAAAGTCACCTGCCACGCCTGCTTCAGCCGCTGACTGCGATTGGAAGCTGCGGCTGGGCTCGGGCGGCTCCTGCAAGGCACCATTGCAGTTGATCCAACCAGCTTCCAGCGGATCAGGCCGGAACTTGATCAAGTCAGAGATTACCTACGCCAACACCAACGCCCACACTCCTACGACCCAGGACTGCCACTAAGTGCTACCGCCTACCAGCACGCACTACCAGCACCAGTTCCCGCCTGCAAACCCTGTCTGACAACCATTGGCATCCGAAGCACCCACTGCACCTAACCACCCTCACACTACACCCCTTTCACCCTCCAAGCCTGCCATCTCTAGTGCACCTTTTCTCGCCGCTCGTCCTTTTTCCTCATCTCGATCGTCATACATTCATTATTTTCTGCTCCACCGTCTCAATCCTCGACGTGCTCGTTTCTACTCTCAGAGCTCCCAATCCTCAACGCTGCTACCTTTTTGCACCCGCAACTTCACCTAAAGCAACATCTCTTTTCAACCTAATCTTACCACTCTCTCCCTGCGCCCTGCGCCCTCTCGTCTTCCACCCTTCCCCCTTCTCTACACCGCCACGCCAATTACGCGCTCCTCTTCGACATCGGCTTCTTTGACTTGATACATCATTTGGCTGGCGACATTCACGGGCATTTCGCGTCGTCGTACGCCTGCGTCGTCCCCAGAGTCGCAAATCTCCAACGTATCCGTCAATCTGTTTGATCCTCTCTTGCCATGCCTCGTCGACTGTCGACCTCTCTTTTAAGCAGTTCACCGCCGACCCCTTGGCCGTCCTTTACGCCAACAACCGAAAAGGGCGGCACTCTCGTCAGTAAGACCTCGCAGAAAGCAGGCAAGATTGCCCAATTCTTCTCCACCTCACCCAAGACCAAAGATCAATCGACTGCGGCCGCTGCGCTTCTCGCTGCCAGTAAGGCTCAAGAGCAGGCATTCCTTGCCTCAGGATCGCCTCCCATAAGCACCCCTTCTCTGTCTCTACCTAGCATTTCTCTCTCAACCGCTCGCGCGGATTCGGCAAACATGGACGAGCCTCCCACCACCCTCTTCCAACCCCCCTCAGTTGCCGAGAGCCGAAAATTGGCCAAGCAACACGCGCAATTTGGTCCATTGAACTCCCAATCCCATCGCTATGTGTCACGGCATCAAGGAGGCGAGTTCCCTGAACCCATCATGGACGAGCCCCCCTACTACTATCTCTTGACAACGTATATCTCCTACCTCATCCTCATCATTTTCGGCCACGTCCGAGACTTTTTCGGCATGAAATTCAAAGAAGACAATTACCGACATCTCAAGGCCCGAAACGGCTACGCTGCCCTCAACAGCGACTTTGATAATTTCTATGTCCGCCGCCTCAAGATGCGCCTCAACGACTGCTTCAATAGACCCACAAGTGGCGTCCCTGGCCGCTACATCACCTTGCTGGACCGTACCTCAGATGATGGCAATTACCACTTTACCTTCACAGGCAATACCACCGAGACGCTGAACATGAGTTCCTACAATTATCTTGGCTTCGCCCAGTCTGAAGGCCCCTGTGCCGACGCGGCTGAAGAGACGATCCGGAAGTACGGCCTCTCGATGAGCAGTTCGCGAAGCGACGTAGGCACGTCTGAATTGACCGTCGAGTGTGAGTCGCTGATCGCCCGATTCGTGGGCAAGGAGTCGGCCATGGTCTTCTCCATGGGCTTCGGAACCAACGCCTCCATCTTCCCTGCTATTGTTGGCAAAGGTGATCTGATCATCTCGGACGAACTCAACCATGCCTCGATTCGATTTGGCTCCAGACTGTCTGGTGCCATGATCAAAGCGTTTAAGCACAACGATATGAAAGATCTCGAGAAGAAACTGCGAGAGGCCATCTCACAAGGCCAGCCGCGTACCCATCGGCCATGGAAAAAGATATTGGTCGTGGTTGAGGGTCTGTATTCGATGGAAGGGACCATGTGTCACCTTCCCGGCTTAATCAGACTCAAGAAGCGGTACAAGTTCAACCTTTTTGTCGACGAGGCCCATTCCATTGGAGCTCTTGGGCCCCACGGCAAGGGTGTCTGTGACTACTTTGGAATTGACCCTGCCGAGGTCGATATCCTCATGGGCACGCTAACCAAGTCGTTTGGTGCCAATGGCGGATATATCGCCGCAGACCGCGCCATGATCGACAAACTACGAGTCATCAATGCTGGCGCCATCTACGCAGAGACTCCTGCTCCCGCTGTGGTGACCCAAATCATGGCCTCATTGAGATTGATCAACGGCGATCTCCAACCTGGTCAAGGCGAAGAGCGTCTGCAGAGGATTGCCTTCAACTCGCGGTACCTTCGCCTAGGCTTGAAACGCCTTGGGTTCATCATTTATGGTCACGACGATTCGCCCATCATTCCATTGCTCCTCTACCACCCCGCCAAGATGCCAGCCTTCTCACATGAGATGCTGAAGCGAAAGATCTCGGTGGTGGTGGTGGGCTACCCTGCTACGCCTCTGATTTCGTCTCGAGCGCGGTTCTGTGTCTCTGCGGCGCACAACAAGGAAGACATGGATCGTCTGTTGTCTGCTTGCGATGAGATTGGTAACATTCTTCAACTCAAGTTTGCCAGTGGCAGTGCTGGTGGAGCTCCGCCGCTGCCTGAAGGCATCACCCCCGAAATGGAACAAAGCAGAAAGCGACTAGAGAAGCATGACAAAGTGGCCAAATCCCTGGTTGTGGCCCCACGTTGGAGTTTAGATGAAGTATTGAAACGAGGCGTTCAAGACGTCAAACAGCCTCTACGTTGATCTGGCACATGACAGCCAAGTGGTAATATGACCCCACAGGCGGCTTGCGCGAAGCCGAGCGCGTGGCATGGGAGATGCGGCTCGGCAAGCACTGGCGTTTGGAATCACATTGTACATGGAAATCAGAGTGCGTCGAATATGGACAGCATCGAATGAATATAGGACGGAACGGCCGGCATACCAGGCTGGTCACTTGCAAAGAGGCGTTGGGGTCAGAATCGACGATACAGTCATCCCACGGCTTGGGGATGAACATTGCCACACCCACTAATACATGCTGCTATCTAATAATCAAACATTCTTACCATCATGATCAATTCTCCGCCTGCGCCGGCTCTTTTCTTTTATTTCGCTCACTCGCATGTGACAATGTTCCCACAGTCGAGAAGACAGGGTCCGGGGAGTGACAGATCGACTGAATCTTGGGTCACGATGAGAACGGTGTTGGCTGCAGTGCTGACCCGTTCAGGCAACGGTTGACGCAGAGTCCTTGTATAAATGATCGATCTACGAGCCCGAGAAATCCCAAGGGACTATTCGCCGCCACGGCTTTGGGACAACAAATAAATTCAAAGTGGCGTAGACATGTCACCATGGATAGGTCTTGCCAACTGTGGAGTATGGTATGACCTAGTGCCTAGTTCCCTCGTCTATACTGGCACGACTGCCCGTGTTACGATTCATCTAGCATGTTGAGCTCGAGGTTCGGATCGTTGCGTCTGGAGGGGTTAAGTGGGGCTGTGTTGGAAGGGCATGGATGATTATGGAGTCAGACTCTGTACGGCCGCGTGGACAGGAGAACCCAGACATATCCTCTATCGCTGTTTGTATCCGGTCGTGGTGGTGTGTAGGAGATGGACGCAATTGGTCGCTAGCCACAACATCAAGAACTTTGCATTGATGTCACAAGCCTCCGTGTCCTTCAGCGCAGCAGTCAATTGATTCCATGCGACTGTTACTTCTCGGGGGAACAAGTCATCAACTCTCTACCATTATCGTTGCTGCTGCTCGGCGCTTCTTGTCCTTGTTTCGATTGAAGAAGAGCATGAGACGAGAGTGAGACTAGTCACGTGTCAACCTCCCGCTTCCTCATACACGTGACATGACATCTCCCCACTTCCTCTCATTCTTCTTCTCTTCCATGAAACTTGAAACGTAACGCAGTCTCTTCTCCCAAGCCTCCTTATCGACTACGCATACGGAGTACGCATGCACATACATAGGCATACTGCATGTTGCGGTCGTCATTTGTCTGCTTGCAACAGGCACCCGTCCACTCCTCTATCATGCAGGGCGCTGATGAGGCTGCACACTGCAGGCACACACACACACACCATCGCACAGCAACCCCTGGCAGAACGCACAGTTCTTCTCATCACAGCCTGGGACCAATCTCCAGGCTTCCATGGTGGGTTGGAGGTGACAAGAGCATCAGACCCATTCTTATTCGTCCCCTCCTCACGACTACTGCACCACCTTCTGCATATTGGGGGCAAGCGAGACGAATGCCACCGTTCTCATTACTCGATTTCCAACGAAACCCTCTCCGCTTGAGCCACCACTGTTTCGGCCCACCTCGTGTCTACCGACGTCCTTCTTTGCCCGCGGTGCCGTGGTTTTCAACCCCGTGACATTGTCAGCCAATCTCACTCTCTTCTTCCTCCATTTCATACTAGCACATCCTGGTAAGAACTCCATTACTCCGTACAGATACATACTCCGTATGATAGGAATCTCCTGTTCTCATTCCCGCATCATCCTGACTGGATCGCTTCTCGCAAAGCGGCTCTTCTTCGTCGCAGCTGCGTGCCCCGGTAGGCATCCGGCCGCCTGATGGGTTTGTCCTTTGTCCGTCTGTTTGCAATCACCCCGGATGTTCCTCGACTTCGTGCATCAAGGCTGCCATCCCAGGCTGCATAGAATGCCCACCTAGCTAGGCCCCTCTCTCGACGGATGCTCTCTCGCGTCCCTCCAGTATACATCTGGCTTCCTTCCGGCTTTTTAGCTCACTCGACTTGCATCCTTCCTGCATTCCCACCAAGTGGCTCTGCTGCATATCAACGCTTGTCTTTCCACCATCATTCCTCGTACCTTGCACTGCCCCACCATTCCTGGCCTGGTCCAAGTCCGGACCGGCTCTCCCCATCTGCTGCTCACTTCTCTCTGTAATTTTTCCTCTGACCTCCTTCAAAACGCATCCACACGCGAGGCAAACTTTGGCTGGCTTGTCCAGCCTTATAGATACATCATCAGAGAACATGGAGCCACCTCCCCCACCTCGAGAGCACTTCCCTTCCATTGATCGCGGCCCTGACGTTGAAATTCTTGACGATCATCTTTTCGAAGATAGATTTAACGACCGAGTCGTCTACGAGGAAAGGCGCCCCAATCCCAAACCGCGCCTGTCCACGTTGTCCATTCATGATCAAGACCTAGACAGACCCCCCTCACGCAAGCAACGACCAGTAACCATGGACGACTCCAATGTCTCCCCTGAATATCTTTGTTTCAAATTGGTCAAGAAAAGCGAGGACTGGAATAGAGCGGTGAAAAACCCAATCTCTATGCCCATCGAGCAAATTGAAAAAAAGATTCGCAAGGATCGCAGCGGCGATGCCTCTGTAAACGAACAACTCAAGCGCATGTCAGAATATCGTCGCGCCCAAATCGAAGACGTCATCAAGAAAGCCAATGAAGGAGAAGTTGGCGATGACAGTTGGGACGTCGTTCACATCAAGTCCAGAAAGGAGTTCATCAGAGGCGGCGGAACGAGTGTCCCTGACATGGAAGTCATTCTTGCTCGAACTGTTAAGTCATCAAGACCGCGCGCAAAATCCACCACCCGCAAGATTGTCGACGTCCGACGAGAGTCTCCAATCAAGAAAGAGAAAAGGTTCGACGACGACACATTCTCATCTCCCCACAGAAAAGAGAAGCACTATGACTCTGACAAGACCGAGCGCATCGACCATGGCCATGGCCATTCTCGAGTGGACTCCGGCTTGGCCATGTTGTCCAACCCGCTGACTAACCCAGATGTGTTCGATCGAGAGGGTAGACCAATGGGTGAGCATGGACTAGTTGAGTTCACTCATCTTCCACCACAAATCCCAAGAGACAAGCCCTTGGGAGCCCCTTTGGAGACGAAGGCCGACAAGGAGGGAAAGAAGGCTGGCAAAAGTCCGAAGGGGGAAAAGTTGGCCGGTTTTGACGATGACATAGTTGTGCTACCCGAGGGTGATTTGCTCGACACAGACCCTATTGTCCTCGATCCCGTTATGGACACCGCCGACAAGCATGACCAGCGTGGACGCCGTGGAAGTTCAGCCCATCGACCTCATGACCACCCAGAAGTCCTGTACGGCGAGCACAAAGGCTCTCATTCTCATTCTCGTCAACGATCTCATCATCGCGGCCAATCACGCCCCGCATCATTTCATCAGAGTAACAGATCTCTACATGACGGCGACCTAGTCCACTTCCCCAACCACCGAACCCGACAATACCTCGACGCTGGTAGCATCTCATCAGGAGCCAGCGATTCCAGCCACTATGGCTACCCAGACTACGACCTTGAAAGCTCCAACACCTCCCTAGGAACGCATGGAGTCCCTCGTCGTGGTAGCCTAGTCCATCAACACTCCCGTCCCGACGTAGTCTACAAACAACACCGACCCGGCCCAAGCCACCCCGGCCCATCACCATCCCGCCCCCTCCGACGAGCATCCTACTCCAGCTCCAAACCCGTCTACTACGAAGACATCCGCTTCAGTCAACCCATCCGGGCCAGCTATCGCGAACAACCCATCATTTATGAAGAACGACCGGTTCAACTCCGATATGAACGCGCCCGTGGCGGGGAACGGCCACGCATCCTCCGCCAAGCCACCCTCCCCGTCACCATTATCCCGGAAGACCGACAAATCATGTACAACCCCACTGCCACGACCTCGCCTCGCGATAGCCACAGCACTCGTGGAAGCGTCCGCGACGTCATCCCCACCAGTAGTAATCGTCGCTACAGCTCAGCATCAACTTCTGGCTTACCTCCACTTGAACGCCGTACGACTGCACCGGCACCGATTGTTGTACAATATCCACATGAATTGGACGACGATTTGTATCATCGTGAGAGTCTGGATCGGCAAAGTGGAAGTATTGAAAATTACCAACGCGAACGTATCAAAGAGGAGTATATTAAGGAAAGAGAGGAGCAGGTTCATCAGAGAGAAAGGGAATTGGATTTGAGAGAGGCGGAGATGAGATCGTTAGGACGGGGTCGTGCTGTGACGGTGGTGGAGGGTGGCAATGGGAATCTGCATGGACATGGAAATGGTTTTGGTCGTTCGAGGTTAAGAACAGATCCTAGGACGGGAGATCTTTATTATGAGGATTTGGGGAGATGACTTGGAATGGGATGGGATAGGGATGATATCCCATGACTGGCTTGGGTTGGATTAAAATGAATACCCCTCGAAGATATACACGGCGTTGTCCCATCTGTCGCTACTGTTACTGTATTGTTAGTACTTCGCTGGTCGAGCTGATGGTGAGTAGGTATGGAAGCTGGATTTCAGCATTTCTGTTATTTCAGACTTTAAAGTCATGTGTCGTGAGATTGTTTTAGTCTTATCCAAAGAAGACACCTGACATTCGGAAACCTCATTTGAATTGGCCCGTCGTCGTCCCTCTTTTACTCAAGTCATGATGCTCCCTGTGTTACCTCCCTCTCCCACGACCTCCTCCCCTTCCCCTCCCTCCACCACCACCACCACCACGACTCATACTACCTCTCCCTCTTGCACTACCACCACTCCCCCCTCCTCGATGACTAGGTCTAGCGTTCTTTTCTCGTCTCTTATCTTTCGCCCACCTCTCTTTCACCATGTGATCAACACTTCTCAATTCCTTAGAATTGCCCTCCGTTCCTGCAAGGCGTTCTTTGGCACTATTCGCCTTTAATTTCTGCTTTTCATAATCACCGCGTAATTTATCCGGTGCTTTGGGTTGGGCGGTTTGTTTATGGCGGTATCGTTTACCGTTGGCGCCATCAGCACTCGTCGTACCTGTGCCAGTACCAGTCCCAGCCTCAGCCTCACCAATTCGTGGTAACCGGCCGACTCGATTCGCTTTTTTCCACTTTTCGAACCGTCCACTCTTGAAGCTACTGGCAATTTTGGCTCCGGATTCTCCTCGCACGAGTCTTCGGTCTGGGTCGTTTGCACGTGATCCGTCGTCGTCGTTATCTCTTCTCACGTATTTCTTGTGTCGCTTGTCCCATCGCATGATGGATCTGGCTTCGCCGAAATTCTTGTTTCCGGATTCGTCGCCTCCTAGGTCCATTGTTGCGGACCGTGCGGCGGATGTGAAGTTGGATGCTGTGTTGCTACCTGAATGTACGCCGTAGGCTTTGTCGTCGGTGAAGTTGTGGGATGTGGGGTGGTAGGACATGAAGTTCTCGGGGTCGCGGTAGGTGCTTGGAGAGGCGTCGTGTGTGGTTTTGTTCTTTTTCGCGTACGGTTGTGTGAATGTCACCTCAAGGTCTGTGGTTGAGGCGGTGGAGAGGGCATCGTCTCCGTCTTCGTCTTCGAAGGTGGAATTCTGCTCATCGGTGGGTTGTACACCGTTGGGGGATTGATCGTCCAAGGGTTCGGGCACAGCTGACTGTTCGGCTGATTTTTGCTTGCGAACTTCGAGGCCAGATCGAATTTTACGGATTGCATCAACGGCTTCCTCGTTATTCTTGCGTCCACCTCTCCTAGCGCCAATCTCAAAGATTGATTCCTGAGGACGGAATCCACCGACTCTTGCCAACATTTTCTCCCTTTCCACTTCAAGGTTGTCGGACTCGTTGTTAAACAGTGGGTGTAGTTCTGACCAAGACTGGGAGGCTACCAGAGCTTTTGATCGTTTTGCACTTTCCGATGAAGCAGGGTTGCGAGTTCGAAGGTAGAGTTTCTCACCCTTTTGTGCAACACTTCGCAACGATGAGAGATCCACACTGTCCTCGAGAGATCGCGTCACCCACTCAGCACTGGTTTGAAGATCTTCCCGCCTCAGACTTCCAACCACTACATCCTGTGCAAAGTTGACCGAGGATGAAGGGTCAGTTTGTCGGCCAACTAGTAATTTCCGGCCAAGGAAGAGTTGTAAATCGAGGAGGTAAGGAGCGTCAGAATCCCGCACCAGACTGTAACTCCAACCTTTTTGGCCCGCGCGGGCAGTTCGTCCGACTCGATGAATATAAATTTTGGGCTGCGAGGGGAAATCATAGTTGATGACGTTGGCCAGGACGGGAATATCAATACCTCGAGCGGCTACATCGGTGACCACGAGGATATTGCTTCTACCTGATCGGAATGCCTGGACTTGGTCTTTTCGAGCTGTTTGGTCGAGCGAGCCATAGACATAGGAAACAGCATATCCTGACAGTCGGAGAACTTGGGCTATATATTCGACATGATGCTTTGTGGCGGCAAAGACGATAGTGGAATAAGGATTCGAGCTGGGCAAGACATGTTCTTGCGTTTCTGATCTCTTCCTCTTCTTTCCGGGTTTGGATTCTTCGGTGGGAGCCGGCGTAGCGGAGGAGATTAGCTGTGATTGTGTTGGAACTTTGATGATGTCCTGGAGAATGTGCAAAAGAGCACCTTCTTTCTCCGAGGATTTGAGAGTGAAGAAGGCACTTTGGAGGTCGGGGGAGATCTTGCTATCGGCATCAAGTCTGACCAGGACGGGATCTTGCAAACCAGCGCGAGCAAATTCTACTAGAGATTTGGGAAGAGTAGCAGAGAAGAGTAATGTCTGTCTCGAAGCTGGGAGGGCGTGGAGGATTTCGGTCAGCTGAGCAGCAAAACCCATTTCGAAGAGTCGGTCAGCCTCGTCGAAGACAATATATCTGATGCTGTGCAGTTCTAGGCCCATTTCGACCTTGAGATGGAGGAAGCGACCAGGGGTAGCGATGACGATATCGGGGTTAGTTGACATGGAAGCAAATTGTTCTTCAAGGCTGTCACCACCAACAAGGAGGATGGATCGCAAGTCTGTTCCCCGGCTGAGATCCTTGACGACTTGCAGGGTTTGCAGGGCCAATTCTCTTGAAGGAGACATGATCAGGGCACGAGCACCGACTTTCTGAGAGTGTGCCTTGAGTTTCTCAATCATTGGGATGACAAAGGCTGCAGTCTTGCCGGAACCAGTTCTGGCCATTCCCACAACGTCCTTGTCACTGAGGAGAAGAGGAATCGTCTTTCGCTGGATGGGAGTAGGGACAGAGAAACCTTTTTTGGTGATGGCCTTGAGTAAGTTTGCATTGAGACCCATGGACTGAAATGCTCCACCTTTTTTCACTGTGCGGCCCTTGAGATTTGAACTTTTGCGATTGGAGGCGGCCTGGTGTGCGGCAATGATTGCTTCATCGTCGGAGCCAGATTCGGCCATAATATCGAGGTCGCCATTGGGAACAGCATTCGGCACGGAGCCGTTCGCGGTTTCTGCATCGGAGTCTGCATTTTGGCCGAAGAGGGAGGCACCGATGTCAAATTCGTTTTCCGAACGGGCTGGGGAGGCATGACGACGAGGCATGATGAGAGGTGGTGCTGCGCAGCAGCAGGTATAGGGGATTTAATCGTTGCTGTCTCAGGTCATTGTTGTTAATGGGAGTGATGAACGTATGCAAATACCACGTCAACTTCAGGATTGGGGGTTAGTATAGTATAGCGCTCCTGTGAGCCTCTGTGAGCCTCTATCAGCGACGATGTGTCGATTGTCGGTCTGACTTTGTATAGACATGCAGACATTGAGAATTTGGAGACCAAAAAAAAGTCCCGAGTTCAACGGCAGATCTTCGGAGTTTCTGTCACTCAAGACTTGGCAATTATCTAGAAGTCCCCGCAAAAGAGACAAGAACGGCCAGGCACCAGTATGGTCACGTGCCTTCGAGCCAAACCACTTTACGCGTCGACATTATTTGGGAAACTGCGTTGGACGCGTTTTTCATCCCCTCCCCTCCATAACCGCAACTCGTCAACAAAGTCGTGGTCAGATCATTAATTACAACAATCAACAACCATGGGTGAGTGTGGCCAGGAGTCATTGTTGATATTAATGTCCTAATCTGCTATTCCTAGACTATAGCAACAATTACTCAACGTCCTATGGGGCAAATGGCGCTGCCGATGGTGGCGGATTCATGCCAGGTGAACCTCAAAGCAGTCCAGCCCAGGGAAAGGTGAGATATGGTTTGATCCCTCTATGAACAGCTATTAATCTCACACGTCTAGGGTAACTACGGCAAAGACACCGTCCGACCCTTGACCATCAAACAAGTCCTCGATGCCCAACAACCTTATGCCGAAGCAGACTTCAAAGTGGATGGCGAACCGATCAGTCAGGTAATCGCTAACAGATTCTTGGTCGATAAATGGCAACAACTAACTGCTGATCGACTAGATTACCTTTGTCGGACAAATAAGAAGCATCACCAAACAACCGACCAACATCACATACAAAGTCGACGATGGCACGGGTCTCATTGAGGTCAAACAATGGGTTGAAGGAGATTTCAGTGAAGACTCGATGGATGTCGAATCAAGCAAGCCCAAGCTGGTCGAAGAAGGATATTGCCGTGTCTGGGGCAGGTTAAAAGCATTTAACAACAAGCGCCACGTGGGAGCTCATAACATCAGACCAATTACCGACTACAACGAAATCAACTATCATCTTCTCGAAGCAACCGCCGCCCACCTCTTCTTCACCAGAGGACCCCCTTCAGATGCTCAGACCAACGGCCAGAAATCTATGGGCACCAACGGAGTTAATGGCGGCGCACAAAATACTTATACAAGTGCAGCTGACAGTCAAATCGCGGGATGTTCACCTCTAGCCAAACGTGTGTTTGCCGCATTGAAAAACACACCACAGAGCAATGAAGGCCTACATGTCCAGATGATCGCCTCCACCATGGGATTGCCCACGTCGGAAGTCTGGAAAGGTGCGGAAGAGTTGTTAGGCGTTGGTGTGATTTTTACGACTGTGGATGACAATACGTGGGCAATCTTGGACTCGTGAGGTATTGAGCGCTGAGGGTTTGTGGTATTATAGTACATGATTCAATGGAGTCAACCAAACAGGATGTAAAACTACGATGTTACGAGATACCTAAGGTTTCGACTGACCAATTCAATGCATGAGAATTCGCCTAATTGACTGTAATTGGGCTGTTGTATTTCCAAAAAGTTTTCTATGTGGAATGAGTTCTGACCCCCAACTTGATCAACCAGCATGAAATGAAATACCCGATTCGGATGTGGGGGGAAGCACTGTTCAAGCACATCACGACAACAACTCAACTCAACTCATCTTCTCCTCCCTTTCGTGTTTATAGTCCAATCGCCAACCTCCTCGGCACGAACACAAGGAACCATTCGTGTCATTCCGGCTAAAATGCACATGAAATACACAAGTTGATGTGGAGAAGCCACAGACGAGCGTACTACCCTCATTGAGTTATTTGCAATGTCCCATTTGAGGCACTGAACTCGTGACTTTGACAAACAATCAAAATAGGACTGCGGGGGTTCATCAACATATGATGTCGTGCCTGTGCCCGAGTTCTAAATGGAATACTTGTGTTTGCTAATTTATTCAAGGTAACGTCGACTATCTATATTGACGGCATAGGGCAGCCTTTCTTCTTCTTCTTCTTCTTCTTCTTCTTCTTCTTCTTCTTCTTCTTCTTCTTCTTCTTCTTCTTCTTCTTCTTCTTCTTCTTCTTCTTCTTCTT